GAGCAGTTGGACATCTTTAAACTTCCTGGCCAGTTTGCTAATAGACAGAGAAACACATCATCAATACTAATACTTTACAAAAAGGAATCCTTTTGAACATGTGGAAAACGTCCTTATTCAAAATTCAAATGCAGAGTCCTCTTTTGTCAACTCCAGAGTCCTGCGCAAGAGGCCTTCTTCAATCTCCCGACAACCAGCCACGAGTTTTTTGCCATCTGCCCCGAAAGGCTTGAGTTCCTTCTCAGAGGCCGGCAGTTTCAGAATTGAGAAGCCCTTTACTTCTGAGTAGTCAGCAAGAGATGCATAGGTAGCTTGGGATTTCTTTCTCTTCTTACGTGGCTGAAAGCCAAGGCGCTCTTCCATGGTCATAGAAGCACTGATGGCGGTCAGGGAAGGACTTCCTCCGCTCAGGTACTCCAGCACTTGGGATTTGTGGAAGAAGAAACCCTCCTCTTGATTCGGCGGCTGGAAGATTCTCATCAAACCACTTGGTAGCGCACGCATTCCGAGCCGCCAATCATCCGGCAGCCAACCCTCGTCGGGCCAGTTGGGGACCGCATCATGATCCGTGACATATCTGATTCTTTTCTCCTCTTCCTCTTTGTTTTCTTTGTTCTTTCGGGGAGGTTCAGCTGCTCCCAGCTCATAGCCTTCTTTCTCTATGTCCTTCCGGTGCCAAAAGCGCCAGTGATCGGGAGTAAAATAGCACTTCAAAGTCTTTCCAGTCGCCGACGTTCGAATGCCTTGCTTCCATCCCTCTGGAAGCCAATAGACCCACTGTCCTGGATCGATTACGGTGTCCTTTGGCCATTCTGCAGGGGTCTCTAAATGTGCATGAGGTTGGGCTCGTCGACCCTTCAACTTGATGGCAGGGTTGTTGTTGTATGCCTCAATCTCCTGCTTGGTGTAGAATTTGCCGAAGAGAGGTCTCCCTGCCTTCTCCCAACGAGCCTTGCGCGCAGCATCGTCACCCATGGCGAGACTGAGATGCACTAAGTGATTCTTGCTCTCTCAAAGATGGGAAAGGTCAAAGCAGCAGTTCTCCTATCCCAAAGCTGGTCTAATCATACACCTCAAGGTGTTGAATTCCCTATATACAGGAAGTGAACACGACCTGTATGATTTGCTTTCCAAACTACCTTCAGCTATGATAAAGGGTTGCTACGGAAGAATTGACGAACTCCTCAATATTGAAGCCCGTGATCTGCCAAGGAAAAGCCTCATTCAACACTTCCGGCCACCATCCGGTCATGTGGAAAACGTGTACGCCACGCGACATCTTCCAATGAAAGGGACCGTATAGAAGCCAGCGATTTTCATCAAAACCTTCTGTTGAGTGGAGGTCATTCTGGGCACGGCACCTCGCCGCGCGGGATCTCCGCTGAGTCGAGCTCGCTGCGGCCGAGTGTCCGCTTCCGGGCTGAGCAGTCCGCAGCAAAGGTGTTCGAACCAAAGAGTCACTTCCAAGTCGGAGTATCCTGGTGGACTTCGTAGGTAGGCGGTCGGAGGTCTCAAAAGCACAGAAACACCGATTTGGGTTGAGGTCTCAACATGGGGTTCTCCGGGCTGGGTAGAAAATGCATTTGGATGCATTTGGTTGTTGTCTTCTGAAAGCAACCTCTTCTTGTTAGAAGCGTCTTGAACAGTATATGCCGAGCTTGATCCCCTGGTTTGAGGTCACAAAAAGCCAAAAAGCCCAGTTTTCCAGGTCACTTACTGTAGGAAAAGAAGCTAGTATAGCTCATAGGTTTGCATGTCCTTCCTTTCAAACCCCCAATGGCCTCAACAATGAGCTCCACCAGCACAGCGCCCCGCCCCTGTTGAACCTGTTTTTGTGGGGCCTCTCTCAGGCTAGAGGATGAAGTTCACCAGTCTTCCAGTGGATGGTGAACAAAGAGATCAAGATCATCATATCCAAAATGGCTCAAAATGATGCTCACTTGTTGTGCAATGAATCCAATTCGGTCCAATTGAGTCTACAGACCCCGGATGAAGCCAGACACCGGGCGTGTCACTTCATCGCGGTCTCCAGGCTCACGCACCCACCGTCTCGGCCCAGGCACGCAGCAGCCAGAATCGCAAGCGATCTCTCAACGGCGCCAGCTGTGGATCACTTCCCAGGTCGATATCATTGGCATCGGAGAACGACTTGTTGATGGCCATGGCCTGGCATCGGCTTCGTCGTTTTGAAGGCCGTTGTCCGGGACACGCCGCTGGCTTCGAGGGCTCAGTGGTGGTTCGGGACGATCGGAAAAAGAGATCGCCGTAGAGTTTGGGGCCACAGAGCAATTCCCCTCTGCACTCTTGCTGACAAAACACGGAAGCTGCACGTGTTCCTACCAAACGAAGCAGTCTGAAACAAGCCGAGCTTCCACAAACTCCTCATCCTTCGCCTTCAGCTTCAGCAGCTCTTCTCGCAGTCGGGCCATTTGGTCCCTAGCCTTCAACGAACGGGCGCACCACTCGCTCGGTTGGGGCGCACGCTTTTTCTCGCGGGTGATCGCAGCTCGCTCGCACTGGCAGGTCACTTCGAGGAAGGCAGGTCAAAGCGAGTTGGACCATTTTCTGGTCACTCTGGTTCTGGTACCAGCGCCTTCTCATTCGAAACCCGCGAGTCATGGGGGCCGATCCGGAATGATTACTGCATCGGTCAGTTCTCCTGGTCTTCAAACAGTGTTCAACCCTGGAGTCATGAACTGACTCTCATATCTGTTTTTTCCCTAGGGCTCCCCACTACTGCTCTACCCTTCAAAAACATCAATGCGTGGTGTTCCTGCGTCACCCGTGCAACCAGCGAAAACGAACCAGGCTACGAGGCTACGAACCGTCTGTGCTCACGTCTGACACCACAAAACCAAAGAAAACCAGGACCCAAAAAGGACCTCCAGGTTCCAAGCATCTCATGGCTTCCGACCAGGAACCGCCGCCAACCCACCGCCCCTATCATCCGGGTGCCCTACCACCGCTCTCTCTCTCTCTCTCTCCGCCGCACCTGGCCGAGCGCCGCCTGATCGCCATTGGCAATCGCCTCGGGGTGCGAAGCGGCGTTGGAGTGAGGCTCCCGTGGCCCTTGGGTCCCTGTTTGGGAAGAACTGGAGACCCCCAACTCAGCGCAAAAGCTAGGCGACCTATGAAACCCATGCTAGAACGACAGTGCCGTCCGAAAAAAGGGATTGTGCAACTCAGAGTTAACTTGCAAGTGGTCGTTTTGCTTTGGGCACCCCTCAACTGCCTTAACTCAATCGTGAACTTTCCTTTCTATAATATAGTTGAGCCGAGCCCCTAAATATTCCTTCTTGTAAAACAACATCCGCGGTTCCCTGGTCATTTGTATGGCAACCCACTTCCAGATTCCAACCCCCATGAATCTCAAACATCGCAGCTATCCTATGCTATCCTAGCTATCACTTCATATCACGTCCAGCCAGAGGTGACCCTAATACTATCTCCTAACCAATTGATCCTTCCCAAAAATAATACTCCCCGATCGCCTTCACCGACTCCGATTGCAAAGAGATCAGCGCTGGCTTCTGCCGGGCATTGCGCATGCGAGCGCAGATTTGGACTTCGCGGTCCAAGCGTGAGAGCATGCTGATGGCCTCGGGGCGGCGGCGTCTTCAGCCCAGCGCTGGCTCTGCAGAGCATGCTCGCAGACGCGCACACGAAGAGGCGAAGAAGCATGTAAAGGCACGTACTGCCTATAAGATAGTAGAAGGCCAGACACGAAACAACAATCGATCAAAAAACACGCAAAGTTTGTGGTGTGTGACATGTTTCTTTCTCCAACTGTTGCAGTCCAAAAAAAAAAAAGGGAATGACCCAATTGATACTCGTCTGAGTCTGAGCCTACCACGCCCCACCCACCTGACCCCCCACCCCCCTTCCACCCACCCAGCGGCCACCCGGTGCTTCGCCGTGGGATGCTTCGAGAGGTCGAATGGCATCTCCCTCGGCTCTTCGAGACGTGACGTGACGACCCGCGGTGACCCGCACCACCATGGTCAGCTGAGAAGCGAAAGGACAATGACCGTATGATACTGTCCTGCGAAACCCCACCTTCGAAACCATCTGGATGTTTTCCCCAGCCATTTCCGTCTGTAAAGGAGTTCAATGGCCGGAACCACCAGGGGTTTCCAGGCAGGTGTCATCTGTCTGTGTGTTCCAACGACGGGGGGCCGCGAAGTCGGATGCGCCAGTCACTTTCGGTGAGGACGATTTCGCGTGGATTGGAGGGGGATTTGGGGGGTTGAACACAGTGAATTGGGGGCTGAAACGCATAGATGACGTGCAAAAAGAGTCTTCGATATTGTCTTCCACAAATGACACTTGGAGGTAGTTTGTCATAGGGTTTGGTAAATATGCCGTAAATATATATATATATGCATCTTACTATGGACCCAGGCACACCTTAGGCACACCCAACAAAAAATGATGAAAACATGGTGACTCTCCGAACGATTCGGCAGGAAAGCATCCAGGGCCTTGGAGCCTTTAGCAGACCTGACCAATGACCTCAACCAGTGGCACTTTGGATTTCCAACACTCTTCCACGAACTTCATCCTGAGCCATGCCCCATGGCATCCTAGAAGTCCTCAATCCATCACGAAGCACTCGTCACAGTGCGGCCCCAGCTGCTCGGGGAGAAGACTACTGGGCGGTGTGTCAATGAGATGTTCACGAGCGAGGTGGCCTGCAGGAGGTCTTTAGGATCGACGTGACGTTGGTGCGCATCGCTTCGAACACGTTGGTGTCGCAGATGTCTGGCTCACAGGAGTTGGAGTTGCGAAAGAAAAAACGTGGTCCTTTAGATGGCTTCAGGCTACAGCTTCAAAGCTGCAAGGACTCGACTGAGTGCCACCATGTGGGTGTGTTTTCGAATAGGGAGACCCTCAACCCATTAGTGTTGGCCTTGTTTTTTCTTCCAGCTGGTCGAAGAGGGTCGTTGCCTGGGAGGTCTCCCAATGTGACTTTAAACCAGGACCCCCGTGAGACCCGGGGCTTCTATCAATAGCCCAGAGGTTTTTCAGGGTGTCCATGAACCACCCAACTCCAGTGGGTCCTGGAATACCATGTCTCCCTTGGCATTCAAGGCCTCACCTTTTCAACCCTCTGATGTCGTGGAACCACCGGACAAAGCCACGCCCCACCAGGCTGGTCCAAGGCCGGTCTTCTTCCCGGATGGAGACCGTCCTCCTTAGGGTTTAGGGTTGAGGGTTTAGGTTTAGGGTTTAGCCTCCATCTGACGTAGTCTTTTTGGGGGCGCTTCCAGTTGTAACCGGCCAGCGGCTCTTCAGCCGCTCGTCCCGCTGCGGAAGGGTTGTCAAACTGAAAAGCCCTGAAACGCTGGTGGGTCATGTCTCATCCACCATCCAATCACCATCCAGCCCAATGATGTTCCTCTACCCAAAAAAATCCTTCCAACCCCACCCGACCCTCATGGGGCCAAGGCACGCATGGGCATCGTGGCCAGGGCCGCCACCTCTTCGCTCGGCATGTCCACCTTGTACGGACCCGCCGGAGGACCGTGAGCTCGGCAACCGTGGCTTGTATCCATATGGTTAAGATCAGAAAAACCGGAAGTGGAGCAAATTTGGTGGTTTGGGCCCCAAACAACCCATTTTTGCTTGGATGGTGATCAACTTGTGCCCGGCTTCTTTGGTGGACACGAGGTGACCGACAGGTGAGTCATCCGCACAAAAACCGCACAAAGGTGAACCACAAGTTAATCAAAACATGAAAAGACATACAGACACAATTGCTCAGTAATGACTCTTGATTCATAAACCCCCTCATAGAAGATGTGATTGAATTTCAATCGGGGAGCTCAAAGGGTCACTTTGAAGAACCAGGAAACAAAGGATCCATCAACTTTGAAACCCACTGGCCGCTCATACCCATTGCCTATACCCGTTAATTAAAACAAAGCGGCTGGCTACCTGCCCACCATCCACTCCCCGCCATTGGCCAAGTGACCGTCCCTTCCAAGAACCGCTGTGTACAAGTCAATCCCTTGAGGCTTGGACAGCCCAGAAGGCAGGCACCTGCCGAGGCTTCAGACGAACTGAGTCTGAAGCCGCGTGGTTCCAGCCGCCACAAGAAGGCTTGTTGCAGCGAACAGAAGCACGACGCCTTGGGTTGCTATGCTTTTGCTTCAACGGTTGGTGAATTCCAAGCGAGCTCCAGACCGCGGTGTTGGGGGTTCACGAGTCCACGCTCCCCAGCGTGGGCGGCGGCGGCGTGCCTTCCGCTGGGAGCTCCGGAGCAAAGAGCAAGCGAGCGCACAGGCCGCCTGGCGCGTCACTGGTGGAAGGTCCACAGGTAGAGCCGAAATAAATATACCAGGAGATAAAAGAACACTTCTATAGGGGGGTTGAGCCACCTCAAAAGGGATGGGTCTACAGATGTCTACAGTGCATATTCTTTTGTGCAGTCCCACTTTCAAGACCAAATCCAACATGTTGAAAACTCCTACCTGGAAACCTCAACAGCCCAAAACCACATTTTGGTTGTTCCAAGTCCATATGCTTGGCGCCAGCTTGAGATCCTTTACACAGGAAGTGACTGGGACTGTGATGGACTCAGGATGGACTACATGTGCTTCTGGTTGTAAAGAACGGACCATCCGGGGTGGCTCGCCGAATGCTTGGGGTGGGGTGCAGAGCCCACCCCACGCTCCAAGAGAAGACCAGGTCGTGGTGAGAGACCATTCATCCGAACCCTTGTGGTCTCTGGAAGAGCCACAATGCAAACAAACAGACAATGTAACAATCCCCCGATGCAGTGTTGAGTCAGACTATGTCACAGTCCTTCTCTTCCAAATTGTTAAAAGAAAGATCTGCTCCACCTCTTTCTGGACTCCAAGACCCTCCCCCATGAAGATCCGCCTTTCAGGACTTTCCATGGGGGTTCTGGGCCTCCTTCGGCCTCCTGAAGGCCTCCTTCGGCCAGCCTTGTTGACTTTCACAGCGCTGGAACCAGGCACTCTCCACCGCCGATTGCATGGGTCGTGGCAGCTCCTGGTGGAGCTAGGTGAGCTTCGGAACGGCAAAGTGGGACGAGGATGTAAAGAACATCGAATGAACGGTAGGACCACCGGGTGGTTGATCCAACACTAACAGCTGTCGAACCAATCACAAGGACGTCCGACCGATCATCTTGATCTGATTCCGTCTGGTCATTGTTGAACATGTTCACAAACCCCTCCATCCCCAAAAAGGGGATTCCTCCCTACTACGTACTGGACTTGCTCATTCAGCGTCCTTCTTCGCAAACCAGGTTTCATCACCATAAATCACAGGTTTCATCCCACCCCCGAGTTTCGGATCCACGTGCCTTCAGCCGTCGCAGCGAGCTCGGACCCTCCGGCCCTTGTTCCATCGAACGGACTAAGTACCTCGCCTGGAAGGACTCTGGTGTGGGCGGCCAGGCGAGCTTCATGGCGTCCGCCGCCTGCACCACGAACTGGTGGATCTCCTCAGGACGGCGTCCGGAGTCCGAGCGGTGCCCGCAACGGAGTCCGAGCGGCTCGGTGGCGCCAAGGGCACGGAGAGAGGGAGAATGTGGCGCTCCGCAGGGAGTGGACACAGTACAGTGTCCTGTCGTAGACCCTGGGTGAGACACCAGAAGGTGGAACTGGGGAGCGAAGGTGAGGGGATCGAAGGGTCTTGGGATACAATGAGGAAGCTCCTCTTTCCAAAGTCAACTGGTCAGTCAATAACAAAATGATTGTTGAATCCAAAGAGAATGCAAGTCGGAAAAATGATGAGATTTCGAAACATCAAGCAAACTTAAAACATACCTGGACCCTCCTGTCGGGGTGTCCAATGGACTACCCCACACTACCTACAGTACAGGCTTCCAGACAGGGTCCTGGTATATTGTATCTCCGAGGATGCACCCTTTTTTCGGCCGTGCACCCAAAGCGGCCTCCGCGACGTCGATCGATGTCAAGCGGCCGTGAGCTTGGCCTTCCACTGGCCCACCAGTCCTCGGACGGAGGGACCACGTCGGTGGGTCGGGTTCACACGGAAGTGTCGAAGCACACCGCGTTCGAAGAAGAAGAAGAAGAAGACGAAGAAGAAGAAACGCGGCAAAGCGCGCTGCTCTGAAAGCAGACCTTCGTGCCGAACAAAAAGAAGAAGCAACTCCCATTGGAACTCCGCGGTTTCGGTTCAAAGATACAAAGAGTGCGGTTCTTGGGAGGCCAGAATTTCTTGCCAGCCTTCGACATTGCAGCATCCCTCAAGATCACCGTCGGACCTTCATTCCGACCTTCATTGCAAAATTTGTCTCATGGCTTTGTATCCTGTCGGTGCTGTGCAGCATCGACACACATTCTTGGGTTGCATCCGTATGCATCCGTATTCATCCGTATTCTGAGTAGTAAATGCAAGCTTGTCTATGACCCCAAGTTGAAGTGTCAGCAAGCCCGCTCTGAACGCCCACTCTGAACGCGGCTTACGGAACGACATCGAATTTGATCGAATGACCAACCTCAAAGAGGCAGCGAATGGCCGTGTTTGGAATTGGCCTCGAGTTCATGGGCCTTGGCCTTGGTATGTTCTCAGTGTCGGTGTCGCAGGGACATGCACACATATATGACACATCGTCTTGGCTGTTCAAGAGCTGTGTGAAAACGCTTCCCTTTCTAAGGGATTTGACACATTGTTTGAGGCTTGGGCGGCCCGAGCAAGTTCCAGACACGCTGCTTCGGAATCCATTCAGGACATCAAACCCTTGTCTTGGAGGTGCCCCAAGAGCAAGCATTCAACCCACGGATATGAGGGTTTCACTGGGTCATAATAGTAATCCCTGAGAGTCAAAGACTATAGAAATAATGGTCTTTAGGGGGCCTCAAAAAAAAAAACAACAACAACTTCCTTTGCTTCAGCCGGTCAAGATATGGTCTTTGGACTTCTAGGGGAATATACATCATCACACCAGAAGACCTTCATCCGAACGGTTCGAACTCACCAGCCCAACACCCGGGGGAACCCGGGGGTCTACCGGTGGCAGCAGATCCCGACACGATCAACACCGCCAGGTGTCGGACTTTCTTCGGCTTGGTCAACATCGGCATCGAGTCGCCTGGGGTGCTCGAGTCGCATCGGTCACGAACGAAGCTGAAGCCCAAAAATGCTGAAGTGAGACTTTGGTCGCCCAGTGTTGGTTTACCAGCGATGACCAGATTACGCGGCGAACGAGTCGATCGTTTTTTCTGGGATGCTGCCTCACGTGCTGGCCAAAACTCTCCAAACACGGAAGCGTCGCGGGCGGCGTGTGAAGGTGGTGAAGGAGAAAGCCGTGGAAAAAATCACCACGATTATCTTGGCCCAAAAAATTGCAAGTAAAAAACGGGGAATGCTGGATGTAGACTCTTGGTTGTACAAAATGAACAAGCCTGAAGAGGTTTTACAGTACATGGTTTTACCATACGTGTCTGGGTATAATCCAGAATCTACCTGACTGAACTAGGCAACTTCTTCAAGCCACCAACTCCCCCCCAAAAGAAAAAAGATCTGAAAAAACCAACTTCCACGGACCATTTCCACCACCCTGGCGTCCGAGAACACACCGTCCGGACTGCTGCCCGACGACGTGGACAGTTCCAAGGCGCAGATGTTGGGATTCTGCGCCAAGATGTGGAGCAAGGAGGCGAGCACCCCATGGTGCCGGCTTCCAGGCATCAAGTGCAACAGCAGCGTGGTGTAGGTCTGCTGATGCCTCAAACAGCGAGGGTCAACGCTGAAGCTGGGGGCTCTACCCCAGCCGCGGGTTTTTGGGAGTCTTTCAACAAGAATGCTGGCAGGATGGATGATCTGTTCATTGCTACATCCTGTAAAAGTCCAGTCGACTGGGAGTCCAGTCAAGTCTAGATCCGGTGACGCGAGCAGCGTCCGTCTTCCACCGAACTTTGGTGCTGCGAAGGAGGACGACTGTCGTTCGCTGGATTCGACGATGGTGAAAATGCTTCCGCCCGTGAAGGGTCCGAGCTCGGCCTTTCAGCCTCCGCCGAGGCGTGAGGCGCCAGTCACCTGTACTAGTCTGGGCAAATGCTCATTCCAACGATTAGGGATGTGTGGCGGTTCCAGAAAGGACCACGAAAAAGAACGCAGAATTCGTCGAGTTTGTGTTGGACTTGACCTGCGAAGGGATGGATTCCTTCTTCAATCCCTCACATGGTGGACACACATCTCTCCACCTCGAAAAACAGCGGCGTTTTCGAAAAAAAAAAAAAAACATGGTGTCCCCCACCTTCCCGGACCTTCACCGTCGGAACGCGCTCCGGTCCTCGAATTTCGGAAGGCCCGGTCCTCGGTCCTCACCCGTCCAAGCTGCGCGGGGTTGGTCTCCTTGGCCCGGCTGAGGCGAGCGCCGGTGGACAAGGTGAAGAGCGAGTAGAGGAAGGCCCACGTCTTTGGTGCCTCGAAGCAGCCGGCCACGCAGGTGAGAGGGAATGTGGAGTGTCCGTAACTCGTGTGGAGGGGAGTGGTCCAGTGTGAAAGGGAGTGGATGGGAGAAGAGGGGGGGGCAAGTGGAAGTTGTGGGGGTGGGGGCTAGAGTGTGTTTGAAGGGTGTAGCTTTTACAAGCCATTCAAGGTTTGGAGGGTGAAGCAAGAGAGTGTGTGATAGGGTGATGTGAAGAGATGTCTTTGAAATATTAAAATCCATTGAAATTCATACCCCTTACTCTGCCATGGGGCATCCGGACACCCATTTCATAAAAGAATTGTGTCTATAAAATGGATGTCCGCAAAGAGAGTTTATATATAATGATGGCCGTATGTGTCTCCAAGATTGCTATATAATGATGGTGCTTCTGAGGTATCAAAAAGGATCAAAGAACTCTGGAGAAGTGGCATGCTTCTAAAATGATAGGCTCCAGGATCAATAAGCACCAGTATAGCTTTTCCTGAAACCTTTATGAAATGACAAATCCACAAGCAAACCTGGGCGACCCCATCACTCCATCTTTGGGCTACTACTTCTTAGGACTCTGGGGTGTAGAAGTCAAAAAGTGTGTTTTTGATTGGTTTCCAGTTCAAAGATACCTGAACCATTTGGGTCCCCAGGTTGCTGACCTAGATCCCCTGTTGAACAGGGGATACCATTTATAAAATGATATCTCCAAACAATTTCTGCATATTTTGCAACATTTGGGAACTACCAGGTCATTTTATAAATATGTGTTCAATTCAGCTGGGTTTTCTTTCCCCAGGAGCCTGAGAGGAACTGGAAACCCAGTCAAAACCACACCTTTTGACTTCTACACCCCAGAGTCCTCAGAAGTAGATAGAAGTAATAGCCCAAAGATACCTGAACCGTTTGGGCCCGCTGGGTTGCTGACCTAGATCCTCTGTTGAACAGGTGGTGCCATTTATAAAATGATAGCTCCAAGCAATTTCTGCATATTTTGCAAGTTTTGGAAACCACCAGCTCATTTTATAAATATGTGTCCATTTCAGCTGGGTTTTCTTCCCCCAGGAGCCTGAGAGGAACTGGAAACCCAATCAAAGCCACACTTTTTGACGTCTACACCTCAGAGTCCTAAGAAGTAGTGGCCCAAAGATACCTGAACCATTTGGGTCCCCAGGGTTGCTGACCTAGAGCCCCTGTTGAAAAGGGGATACCTGTTTATAAAATGATAGCTCCAAACAATTGCTGCATATTTTGCAAGTTTTGGAAACCACCAGCTCATTTTATAAATATGTGTCCATTTCAGCTGGGTTTTCTTCCCCCAGGAGCCTGAGAGGAACTGGAAACCCAATCAAAGCCAATCATTTTATAAATGGCACCACCTGTTCAACAGAGGATCTAGGCCAGCAACCCTGGGGGCCCAAACGGTTCAGGTATCTTTGGGCTACTACTTCTTAGGACTCTGGGGTGTAGAAGTCAACAAGTGTGGTTTTGATTGGATTTCCAGTTCCTCTCAGGCTCCTGGGGGAAGAAAACCCAGCTGAAATGGACACATATTTATAAAATGAGCGGGTGGTTTCCAAAACTTGCAAAATATGCAGAAATTGTTTGGAGCTATCATTTTATAAACAGGTATCCCCTGTTCAACAGGGGATCTAGGTCAGCAACCCTGGGGGCCCAAATGGTTCAGGTATCTTTGGGATACTACTTCTTAGGACTCTGGGGTGTAGAAGTCAAAAAGTGTGGTTTTGATTGGGTTTCCAGTTCCTCTCAGGCTCCTGGGGGAAGAAAACCCAGCTGAATTGAACACATATTTATAAAATGATCTGGTAGTTTCAAAATTGGCAAAACATGCAGAAATTGTTTGGAGATATCATTTTATAAATGATATCCCCTGTTCAACAGGGGATCTAGGTCAGCAACCCTGGGGACCCAAATGGTTCAGGTATCTTTGGGCTACTACTTCTTAGGACTCTGGGGTGTAGAAGTCAAAAGGTGGTGTTTTGACTGTGTTTCCAGTTCCTCTCAGGCTCCTGGGGGAAGAAAACCCAGCTGAATTGAACACATATTTATAGAATGATCTGGTAGTTTCAAAAATTGCAAAATATGCAGAAATTGTTTGGAGATATCATTTTATAAATGGCACCCCCTGTTCAACAGGGGATCTAGGTCAGCAACCCTGGGGGCCCAAATGGTTCAGGCATCTTTGGGCTGCTGCTTCTTAGGACTCTGGGGTGTAGAAGTCAAAAGG